CACTTGCTCTGTTTAATCTTTGTCTCACCTCAAAGACACAATCCAATTGTGAGATCTCTGACTTTGGACTTCGTAACTTTTCTTAATTAATTTTAAAGGCCCTCTTACTTCGTGTCCGATATCAAGTCAAATGGAGTAACTGAGTTGATTAATTTGGGGCATCTCTAATGGCAAATAATGTAAATGGGATGCTTTTATCCCAATAGTTTGAGTAATCCTGGCAATAAGCCCTCAGCATGGTCTTTAGTGTCTGATGCCACCTTTCCAATGCTCCCTGGGATTCAGGATGGTACGCACTTGATGTAAGAGTTGGATGCCTAAACTATCCAGGACCTCCTTAAATAATTTGGCAGTAAAATTTGACCCTTGGTCTGACTGAATCTGCCTGGGTAACCCAAAACTGGTAAAGAAAGCAAGCAACTCCTCCGCAGCCTTTTTTGGCTTGACATACGGAATGGATTTACCTCCAGAAATCCAGTAGATACATCCATTATTGTTAGAAAATATTGGTTTCCACTTTTAGCTGTAGGGAGGAGACCTGCACAATCAATCATAACCTACGTGAAAGCTTCTTCAAATGTGGGAATTGACATCAAAGGCACTGGTTTTATTCCTGCCTGAGGCTTTCCTATCATCTGACATGTATGACAGGTATGGCAAAATTCAACCAGGCCAACAGAAATGTTAATATATCTTAACCTGAGTCTTCCTCATTCCTAGATGACCTCCTACAGGTACCTCATGTGCTATCCTCAATAATTCCTGTCTGTACTCTACCAGCAACACAATCTGGTGAACTCACACCCGTTTCTCCTCTGCACAAACCTGCCGAGGTCTCGATTTTCATCTTAGGGTTTTATCCTTAAGATAATAATACTGGGGATACATTCTGATTCCATCTGCAAGTAGGCTTTATGATATACAGATAGTAGGAACTGTCGATGCTGGAGAACACGGGTCCGGACCCGAAACGTCAGCTTTCCTGCTCCTCTGATGCTGCTTGGCCTGCTGTGTTCATCCAGCTCTACATCTATTGTTTATGATATAGATCTTTTATTGTCTCATATTTTTGTTGCAACTCTATTAATCTTTCAGAAATAAACACCCTCTGTCTGATCCTCTACCTGCTCAGGTTTTTCCATTACCCTGTCATCAAACAGGGTGTCAGCTAAATGGACCTCAAATCCTTTGGTCTTTTTCTTTGGTTTTCCCCTCTTGCTTTAACCGATGACTGTGGGATCTCGCCACCACACAGTCTGGAAAAATTCCAGGATACTTTCTTTTCAGTTCCCTGCAGCTTCTCCACTACAAGGGGCATCACTCCCACCTTTGATATGATGGGTCATTTCAGAGAACAAACTGTATTCCTGGAATAGAAACTCTTTCAATCACTCCCACTGTCACTTCCCTAAGTCTTGATTGGACTTTCCAACCTGATCTTACACAGGGGAACACTAAATCTCTCTCCATTCATTCCACAGATTACCACTCTGCTGGGTAACACTTCAGAAGGAATGCAAATACTTCCATCTCTTACTATTGGAGACTGGTTAGCTCCCATATCTCTCAATATTTTAACTTCTTTACCTTTTCTCTCTTTTATTCCTGAGTAAACCTGACCTACAGAGGTGAAGATTTTGTAGAGATCAGGCACCATCTCATTATCCAGCCTGTGACTAGGCTGTGCACTCTCCTGCAGCTCCTTCTTTTGTGATTTCCTTCACTACCTCAACTAATCCCATTGGTTTAGCCTCTTTTACCACATCATTTTTTCCCAAAGCCACTGTGACTTTGTGTGTCCCCCTCTGTTACAGAGAAAACACCTGAGACCTTTCATCTCCTTTTCACCCTTTTGGGTTTCTTTTTCACCTGTGGTAAACTGTTCTCATTGTGAGATAACAAAGTGTGGAGCTGGAGGAACACAGCAGGTCAGGCAGCATCAGAAGAGCAGGAAAGCTGACGTTTCGGGTGGTCCAGACATCATCGGCAGTTCCTACTATCTCTGCTCTCAGTGTGATCTATTTTTTGTTTTTCATTGAGGGATCTCCATTTTCCGCAATTTCTATCCCTCATGGAATGAAATTGCTCAGAAACTAAATTCGATTTATGCGTATTCATCCACCATCTCTGCAGCTCTTCTCACTGTGTTTAAACTTTCTGTTCGTCAACATGACTTCTTATCATTTCTGGAAGTGAGTGTTTAAACTCCTCCAGCAGAATATGGCCTTTCTATCTTTAACACTCTCACCCATCTATTGAAGTTGCTATGTTTCTACCAAACTCGACATAAATCTGACCTGGTTCCTTCTTTATGTTTGTGAACCGTTGTCTATATGCTCCTGGTATCAATCTCCTGGTAGGCACTCAAAATTGCCTGTTTCACTCCTTCACAGTCTCTTGGCATTTCCCCTGATAGCGCTGTGAACATCTCACAAATCCTATCTACTAACTTAGTCTGAATTCACATTACCCACACAGTCTCTGGCCAATTCATCTAGCTAGCCATTTACCCAAAGGAAATAAGAAAAGACTTCTATATTTTTTTCATCGAATTTTGGTACTGTTTTGACATATTCATGTATTTTTGTGTGTATAGTCTTTGGCTGTTATGGGTTTGCTCATCAACACTCTCCTCTCATGAAGCTTATCTTCTACCTTCATCTCCATTCTTTTAAGTCAGATATCCTGTTCAATTTGCAACTTCTGAGGTTCAAACTCTCTTTTTCTTCTCTCTCTCTGTGCTTGTAACTGTTATTCAAACAGTTTCAGTTTCCTTTCTTTCTCTTCTGTTCTGGCTTTTCTTTCCTTTTCGTTCTCTTCTAACTCCAATTGTCTAATTTTCAATGTAATTTTCTAATTCCACTATCCTTACCTGTTTTCTGGTATACCTAAATGCTTGACTAACTCCTTTACAATTTCAACTTTCCTCTTGTCCCTGGTTAAACCCAATTCTAAACTGTTTGCTAATTTTAAAAGTATATCCTTCCATTGTCTTTCTAAACTTTCTTGGCAAATTTAGGAAGCATCCTCAAACCCCAGAACTTCTTCAGCAATGTTAAGACCCATTTCCCTCACTTTTGATTTAATGAACCACAAGTAACTTAAATTAAACTCCTCGGATACTGTCTGACCTGCTGTGCTTTTCCAGCTCCACATCCACCGAAGTTTTATTTAAAGATCTAGGACACTAATCTCCAAGTCTGTTTAAATCTTCTGGGACCTTTCATACCCCGAATCTGTTCAAATCTGTCCAAATCCGTTCAGGTCCCATATACGAACCAGCCAAATTCCAGACGAACCCCAATCTGTTACAGAGAGGTGGGAGGTCAAACCCCTGTGATAGTTAAACTGAAACACAAGCCCCCAATGTGCTATTAGAGGAGTAGAGGTTCCCTTACAATAATTAAACCCAAAACCGTCAGAGAAGCTCGCTTCGCCTTTATAATCTGTTAAAAAAGAGTGATGAAATGAAAGAAAATCCCTAAGTATAAGTAACAAGTAACAATTTATTTATTTAACACTAAGAGTGAACAAATTAACAGAACTATTAACAAACTGAACAATTCCCCCAAATCCTAACTATTCTCTAACTGAACAAAATACTACTGGTATGCTGTTCCAATAAACACAAAGCCCACTTATATAAGTCAAGTAATAAGGAAAAAGAAATTAAAAACTTAGTCTCTCAAAATCTACACACCTTTCTTCTGTTGTTCTCAAGTCATAAAGTCTTCTGCTGGTCCGGCTATCAGGGATGTTTTGCCTGTGGAAGTCTTCTGCGAGGACTCTTAGCTAGAAGTGTCATGGTACCTTTTATACATAAGATGTTATTTTCTCAGAGAGATCAACAATTTCTTGTGAGAGCTATATGCTTATTTCTCAGATGGCAGTTTGCTCTCACACCGATTTTCAAAAAACCCTCTCCTTATATACCTTGGATGACATATACATTTTCTTACAACAGCATTGGTCCGAGGTTTTTAAAGCAATCAGATTTAAATTTGATTGGCTTTCAATCGCTAAGTGCTTGGTTTAAACTAATTGGCTGATTATAGTTCGTTGCCAAAACATCAAAACAAGCCTAAGGTTTTCAATCACACAGCCAACTGATACATTACCATTTCAGAACTGGCTGTACATCTGCAGCCGTTTGCAGACACATTCTTTTTCTGTATAAATCTATAAGCTTAGAAAAGCACTGTACTTCTTAGAGGGACCAGACACTGTTCTCCCTTTTTTTTTACAAACAACTTCCTGCCTTCCAATTCACAATTACTGAACATAACTTCATAATAGAATACAGTGACTAGAGGGGTATGGTAAGGTTTAACACTAGGACTCCAGCTATTCATAATGCATGTTCATGGAGGGAGTGCAATGAACGTTTATCAAATTGATTGCTGAGATGGTAGAACTGGGGTATGAGAAGAGATTGAGTTGGTCAGGATTTTACTCTCTGGAGTTTAGAAGAATGAGGGGTCATCTCACAGAAACCTATAAAATTCTAAAGTTTAAATGCAAAAAGGATGTTTCCAATGGTGGGGGAGTCCAGTCACAGGAGTCGTAGTTTAAGGATAAGGAACAAACCGTTTAGGATTGAGATGAGAAATTTCTTCACCCAGAAAGTGGTGCAACTGTTGCATTCACAACCACAGAAAGTAGCTGAAATCAAGTGTTGTATTTTCAAGGAGGTGGTAGATATAGTGCTTGTGGCTAAGGGATCAGTGGAAATGGGAGTACGGCAGGATTAGGTTCCTGAGTTACTGTATCATCTCCTGTTGCCTTACTAGTGAAAGTCTCAAATGACAAATTAATGTTGGAATTTGAGTTTGAATTGCAAAATCTAGAATTACAGTGTGCATGGAATATGGAGTGAACATGGAGTGGGTACACAGGACAGAGTATGTGAAAATCTGGCTCGGAGCATGCGAAAGCGCTATGTGGCTCAGAGAGTGAGTCAGACTGAGAGAGAGAGGGACACTGAGACAACACACATGATCCTGTTTGAACAACTTTTTTATTGTGGAACTGGAAATCGCCCAATAAGCTCACGGTAGGAAAAGTTGCCAGGTTCTACATGTTGTCCTCTGTATCCATAGTAGCCAATACAGTCTCACTGGGATGCGTACCTGTGGAAAAAACACCAGAAAACAAAACATAGTGCTTGATCTGTGCAGCTTAGTTCACACAGCAACATGCTGAATGTCATCTCCTGTTCCTATGTAACAACTTCGAGAGGGGCTGAATGGGCCTTTTTCTGTTCCTGTGTAAGAGGCTCTAGAGGGGCTATAAAGCCTCCATCTGTTGTTGTATGAGGCTCCATAGTGAGTAAGGTTGGGATAGAGTGTGTGTAGGAGGCATTGGATCAGATGTTATGAGGAGTGATAATAACACACAAATTGGCACTCTCTTTTGTTTTATTAACAACATGAGAAATCCCTGGTTCTAATCAGGTCTCCTTCAGGAATGCAGAGCCGAACATCCATTTCAATAATTATCTTGTAATATAGGAAAGTCAGGAGAAAGCAAACTATTCCCCTCTTTCACAATAGTCAGCTGTCAAATTCACAAATTTAAACATCCAGAAACACAGATAGCCACGTTGATAAATGGTCAGCATGTCACATACGTGTGAGGTTATGGTTCTGGAAGGGGAGCATGTCAGGTGAGTATGGGGTAGGGATCCGTGTGCATAGGGTGGATAGGGTGACAAGTGAGTGGGAGAGTGCCAAGTGGATAGGAAGAGGATATCAAGTGGGTAGTGTACCAGATGGGCTGTGTGCCAGTTGGGTAGGGTGCCAAGGGGGGTAAGCTGCCAGCTCAGCAGTGCACCAGGTGGGTAGGATGGACGGCACAAGATGGAAAGGGGTCTAGCAAAGAGTGTGCGCGTGTGCACATGCGCGTGTGCGTGTGTGCTTGTGCTATGACGGATCCCGGTCCTATGTGCCGTGATTTTGGTGGCTGAGCGAGAGGGTGGTATACCAGGTCCCAGGATAGGCGCATCTGGGGGCAATGTCATTGGCGGTGGGTGGGTAAATCTCTTTAATGATCACTCAGGAGTTAGACGATGTATTTAATCATCTGACTTTACCTGAGTAAAAAAAACATTTCAGAGTGTTTCTGGCTAAGGGGAATATCCCAGCGGGAAGCTCACTTTTCCAGGCAGTTACTTCAGAGCATGCTACACCAGTGTCAAAGACAGTGAGAGAGATGGCAAGAAAGAGAGGGAGAGAGAGATGGTGTGAAAGAGGGTGCAAAAGAGGTACAAAGGGAAGGAGTGAGAGGGGGAGTGGCAGAAAGACAGGGAGGGGGAGAAAATGACAGGGAGAGAGTGAAGGAGATGAAAGTCAGGGGAGTGGGAGAGAAATGGACTGAGAGAGTGACTGAGAAAGGATTTGAGTAGACAGTGAGAGAGGGAACAAGATCTTGATACAGACCGTGTCTTTGCAATCGGCTGATTCACACAATCTCCAATCGTTTCGGTGCCTCATATTCAGTGACAACTAAGTCATCTGATGGAAAGAAAAGGAAGAGAAGGATTGGTAAGTGGAGGGATAGGTAAAGAATAAACACAGTGGAATCCCCAGTGGGCAGACACACTTGGTATTGAGCACCTTGGAACAGTATAAAAAGAATAAAAATTGATGATGAAAACCAGGATCAGAATTTCAGGAATAAACATCAGGATTAGACATGGGAAAAATAAACATCCAGAAATAAACCATGGATAGAAACAGGAAAAATAAAAAATCCCAGAATGAACACCAGAATAGAAACAGGAGAAATTAAAATCCAGAAATAAACCATGGATTGAAATGGAAGAAATAAAAATCCAGGAATGAACACTGGGATAGAAACAGGACAACTGAAATGCAGTAATAAATACCGGGATAGAAACAAGAGAAACAGGAGAATCTTGAACAAATGGGAATAATTACCTCGATAAAATACCAGTGAGTATCTTGGAATAAATATCCTGGAATTAAAATCTCAAAATAAATGTCCCAGGAAAAATACCCCAGGTATACACCTCAGTCTTCACAATTCCCCATAGGTTTGATGTTCTCTCGCTGGTTTGGTTAAAAGTTGAGGGCTTCAAACTGCGTGGGCATATGCACCATGATACTCATCAACCCTTCAAATGGGCAAAGCTACAAGGAATGTAATGGATAGCAGCAGGAGAAAGGGCAATCAGAAGAGCTGTGTAAAGACTGTGCCTTTTAGCTTTGTGCTTTTAAGCACAATTGTAACGGATTGCTGCCTGCTTAGCAAACCTGATGTTTCTGGCAAGCATTGTTTAACTGATTCAACAAGCAGTGAAATGTTTTCAGACAAAATGGAGCCAAGCAGCACTCGAGATGAGGCGCTTCATGACAACAAGAAATTAATTGGTCTATAGACTAGTGATCAATTACTAATGACAGATACTTTTTGCCTGCCAACAACTGTATGATTGGTTCTCAGATACTGAACAACTTGGACTTGGTGACAATATCCAGAGAAGGGATTTGTTCCACCAGCTCAAGATCTGTCCCTCTACTTTCTGCAGTCAGAACTCACTTCAAACCTCAATATAAACTGGTTTCCTTTTCTGCAATTGTCACCGTAAGCTGTGGATTTTGATGGATAAATCAGAGACCATTTATAAGGGAACCAGTCACCCTGTGCCCCTTGCAAGCCAGTGAAAGAATCTGGAGAAGGATGACTGAGAAACAGAGTATTAACCAGTACGAGAATCATAAGGACCATCTATATGACTGTGAATAGGAACTGTTGATTGCATTCCCAGTCTTCCTCTGCCAATAACTAAAATTTCACTGTCTGTCTGTCTTTATACCTGTCTGTGCAACAGGGAGTTTATAACAGGTTCCATGTATAAATTAGTAGTATTAAATGCTGACAGATTATACTGCTTACCTGTAGTTAGGGTCTAATCACCTTTAAAAGAAAAAGTGATTCTTGTAAGTACGGAAATCTTGTGTTTTCGGTTGTTGCAAATTTAATGTGTGTAAAATTGTGAAAAGGGGGAATACATTGCAGCATCCCTTTAGAAGATGGTGTATTTTCAGTGCTTAGAGTTAAAATGGATGTCAGAACAGTAACTTTAAAATGCAGGTGCACAGAGAGCATCTGAATTGAAACATTTTGCAGCAAACAGTCAAACAGCATTTTTAGCAAGACAAGTCTTTTCAAATTTAGCCAATCAATTTTAACCAATTCCTTAGATACTAAAAACCTATCAAATTTAAATCTGATAGTGTTGACAACCTGGAACCAATCCATTTGTAAAGAAATTAATAAGACATCAAGGGAATAACAATGAGGGCATTTAGCAAATCGGAGAGAGGGAACCGCCATCTGAGAAATAAACCAGGTTCTCACACAAAATCATGAAGCTCTTGAAAACAAAAAGCACCATCAAAGGTGCCATAGCATTTCTAGCTTAGAGTCCTCACAGACGAAATTACAGAGAAAACATCCCTGACAGCAGAATCAGCAGAAGAAAGGCATTTGTGGTGTGAGATCAACAGAAGGCATAATGTTCCAGTCTGGGCTGTCTGCTTGTTACCAGGAATTCATCATCGGGTCAGGACTGAACAAGAACTTGGGTGGTAAGGGGAAGATCCTATTGTGGTGATCCATGTAGTGACAACATGAAGAGGACATGAAGGGATGGCACGGTGGCTCAATGGTTAACACTGCTGCCTCACAGCACCAGGGACCCAGGTTCAATTCCACCCATGGGTGACTGTGTGGAGTTTGCACATTCTCCTTGTGTCTGCGTGGGTTTCCTCCGGGTGCTCCAGTTTCCTCCCACAGTCCAGAAATGTGCAGGTTAGGTGGATCGGCCATGCTAAATTGCCCATAGTCTTCAGGGATGTGTAGCTTAGGTGGGTTATAGGGGGATGGGTCTGGGTGTGATGCTGCAAGGATCTGTGTGGACTTGTTGAGCCAAAGGGCCTGTTTCCACATTGTAGGGATTCTATGTGAAAGGACTTGGGAAGAGATTCAGCCCCAACAGTGTTAGGAGCTGGGCAGCAAATTAAACAGAACAGTGAGGGTAGTAATCTGGGTTTCTTATCTGAATACATGCTAATCACAAAGAATACATCAGATGAGTGGAAGTGAATTATGTGGTTCAAAAGCTGGTGTGGGAGAAATGAGTTTCCATTCATGGGACAATGATAGCAACACCAGGAAAAGTGAGATTTGCACCATTGGGATGATCTGTACCTGAATCATGATGAGTCCAAAGTTCTTGCAAACTACATAGCTAGGCAAGTAAACAATGGGGAACAGGAATCGAGCTTGATAGATGTAGCAAATCAAGGGGTACAGTCATGACAAGAGAGCAAAGTACTAATATGGAATTTAAAGGTCAAAGGATGGCAAGAAAGGGCAGATTAGATTAGACAAGGTTGTAAACAAGTTTGCCGAGACAGTGGGTTTGGTTGCAAACGTTTCGTCACCCTGCTAGGTAAAATTTGCAGTGCGCCTCCGGTGAAGCGTCGGTGTTCTATGCCACTTGTTATTTATATGCCTCAGTTTTTTTTGGTGTGTTTGGTATCACTTCTTATTCTGTTTCTCAGTGGTTTGTACACAGGGTCTAATTCAATGTGATTGTTGATAGAGTTCTGGTTAGAATACCAGGCCTCCAGGAATTCCCTGGCATGTCTCTTTTTGGCTTGTGCGGTTATGGATGTGTTGTCCCAGTCAAATTCATGTCCCTCATTGTCTGTGTGTAGTGAGACAAGTGAGAATTGGTCACGTCTCTTGATGGCTAGTTGGTGTTCATGTATCCGTATTGTCAGTTTTCTTCCAGTTTGGTCTCTGTAGTGTTTCTCACAGTGCTGATGATAAAGGGAAGGCAATCATTTACATCAATGTATATATGAGCTGGAGAAATCATATTGACAGCAATGACCTCAGTGAGAACTTCATGGAACGCTTTCAAGACTGTTCCTTAGAACTGCACATTGTGGAACTGACCAGAGACTTGGTAATGTGTAATCTAACAGGACTAATTCATGACGCCAGAGTGAAGGCACCTCAAGGTAGCAGTGAGCATCATAGGGTTCAATGTTACAAGTTTGACAGGGAGAAGACTGGGTCTAAGACTAGTGCATTAAACTTAAATAAAATCAACTATGTGACATGAATGCAGACTTAGCTGAAGTGAAGCTGGGCGAGGCTAGATCAATAGAGAAGCTTTGTCAGATATCTGGGGTATTTCAGAATAGTTGAAATCAGCTTTTTTCTGTTGTTAAGAAAATTCTAAGGAGCCAATCCACTATCCATCATGAAATAAATAAGCAAAAGAAATGCTGTTCCTGTTCTTCACATTTCCTATTCCTTGAGGCCACCTCACTCTATCCCCTGCTCCTCCATCAGCATTAATTGTTCTTCCATCCACGTTTATCACATGCAGTCCCTCCTAATTTATCAATTCAGGAAAAGGGTGGCCCCACCCTCAAGACTGAAGTCTCCACAACCCCACCCTCCTGCCTCACCTTCCCTCCCAGCCCCGACCTACATGTAATTCCCCAGGAGTCCTATGGCCCAGTACAGATCCCTGGACTCTGGTAGAACCAAGCACCTGACTGACTATTGTCAAGCCCCTTGGACGAAAATTAGTCAAACCCCCGAATGATAACCCCTAACTGACCATAATCCCCCTTATCCTTATTAAGGACTGATTCTCTTTGGCTTTCACACATGGTCATTCGCTTAAAACGTGCAGTTTGTTGTTTGGTTGTTTATTCACTTAGGGCATGTGGGTGGGTATAGCTGGCTGGGGGCAGAGTACAGATTTGGGGAAGAAATTCCATTCAACATCTCAAATACTGTGTACAGTTGAGGTATCCTTGTCTAAGAAATGATGTAAATGCCCTAGAGGTGGCTCAAGGGAGGTTTACTGGATTGATATTTAGAATGTGCGAGTTGTCTTATGTGAACCTAGTAACTAGCGGCAGGAGTAGACCATTCACCCCAATCATTTAATACTATCATGGTTGATCTCATCTCAGTATAAACTTCACTTTCCTGCCCACTCCCTTCAACCTGTCACTAATTAATAATCTATCTCCTCCTTAATGTCGTTCAATGTCCTGCATTCACTGCACTCTCGGGTAGTGCATTCCACAGATTCCTGTCTCTTATATTCTCTCTTATATCCATTTTAAATCTGCCACTCCTTATCCTAATGTGATTTCTCATCTTAGATTGCCCCACAAAGGGACACAACCTCCCTACGTTGACTGTGTCATTTTATATGCTTCCATTAGATCTCCTCCCATCCTTTTACATACCAGACTCTGCTCAAGCTCTATTTATAAGACAAATTCCTCATCTCTGAAATTGATCTAATGAATCTCCTCTGAACTACCTGCAATACAAATGCATACCACCTCAAGTAAGGGACCAAACTATATACAGTACTCCCGAAGCAGTCTCACCAATGTCTTTTGATACAACACTTGCCTACTGCTTGAGGAAAGGCTGGAGAGATTGAATTTGTTTTCATGGAGTTTAGAAATGTCAGGGCTGATTAGATTGAAGTGTCTAAGAACCTGGATGGTCTTGAAAAGGTGAATGTGGAAAAGGTATTTCCATATGTGGGTGAGTCTAGGACTAGGGACCCTGCTTTAATACTAGGGGTCACTCGTTCAGGATAAGAGTTGAGAATTTGTTTCTCTCAGAGTGTTGTGTGAGTTTGGAACTCTGCCTGAGAAGGTGGAGGCTGGTGTTGGATATTGTATATTTTTAGTGCTGCAGTAATAGATTCTCGTCAGGAGACTGGGCATGGAAACATAAGAGGATTGAGGACTGCTGTACGAATGGACTTACCACCGTGGTAGTAATCGTAAACTTTCACAATGGCAGGCTGCAGATTCTCCACATTGAACTGATGGATGGTGTCAATGGATAATTGTAGCAGATGGTTCACTTCCATCTAGAGAGAGAAAGGGGGTCAGGCCACTCACCACTAAAACAGCATTGTCACTGCAGACAGAAATCACAGCTTTAGGATCTCAGACTTTCTGTCTGTCTCTCAGCTGCACTCATTCCTCTCATTCCTGTTTCACTGTCCCTCTCCCTCGCTCTCTGTCTCTCAAAAAACTCCTTCTACCCTCCCCGTCCCTATCTCTCCCTCTTATTCTCATCCTCTCTTTCTCTTTTACTGTCTAATGCTGCTTCTCTTCCCTTCCCCCCACCTCCCTCTCACTCTATCTCGCTTTTTCTCATCCTGTCTAATTTTGCTTCGCTTTTCCTTGACTCACTCTCACTTGCCCCCTTCTACAATCCTCTCGCTCTTTCTCCTATGCTGTCTAATCCTGCTTCTCTCCCTTCCCCCCTCTCTCTTTCTCTCTCCCTAACTTCTCTCCCTAAACCAGCACTTGATTAATTTATTTGTTTCTGCGACTTGTCTCTCTGCCTCTCTCTGTCACTGATTTGTCCTTTCCATCCCTCCTACTCAGTCTCCCTTTCCTCTAGCTGTCCCTCTCACCTCTTCCCCTCCTACCCCCTCTCTCTTTCTCGCCCTCACCCAGGGGAGGCAATGGTCCAGTGGCATTATCACTGATTGTTAATCCAGAGTCCCAGGTAATGTTCTGGGGACCTGAATTCGAATTCTGCCACAGCAGATGGTGAAATTTGAATTCAATAAATATCTGGAATTGAGAGTCTAATGATGATCATGAATCCATTGCTGATTGTCAGGAAAAACCCATCTGGTCACTAATGTCCTTTTGGGAAGGAAACTGCCATCTTTACCTGGTCTGGCCTACATGTGACTCCAGACCCACAGCAATGTAGCTGACTGGGTCACAACTGCTCTCTGGGCAATTAGGGATGGGCAATAAATGCTGGCCTAGCCAGCGATGCCCTCATCCTGTGAATGAACAAAGAGAAAAAAATCCAGTGCTCACCGGATCGAGGTACAGAAACAGGGACCCATCTTGCAATTCAGCTTTTCTGATTTTGAAACTGTCCACGCTCTGAAATGAATGACAATAATTGAGAAGAAATATTAATTGCAACAATGAATGTTAATAAACCATCATAATACTAGCACTGACAGAACAGAACTGGTTTCTTAACACCCCAGATTATAAGACTTTTAGTAAAAATAGAGTGGGTAAAAAAAGAAGAATGTGTAGCAGGAACAAAAACAAAGTTGCTGGAAAAGCTCAGCAGGTCTGGCAGCATCTGTGGAAGAGAAAACAGAGTTAACGTTTCGGGTCCGGTGACCCTTCCTCATAACTGAGGACCCTTCTGAGGAAGGGTCACCGGACACGAAACGTTAGCTCTGTTTTCTCCTCCACAGATGCTGCCAGACATGCTGAGCTTTTCCAGCACTTTGTTTTTGTTCCTGATTTATAGCATCTGCAGTTCTTTTGGTTTTCATTAAGAATGTTTAGCAGTCTTGCTCAAAGATAATGTCATTGTCTTTGAATGGTATACAATTCCCGAATTAGAATCTAAATATTTGGACATGTGAAACAGGAAGCAAGTGTTGACCTTGTTGAGTAATTATTAAAGACCTCCAAATTGTGGAAATGAAGTAAAAGAGAGCATTTGTAGGCAGATTATGGAAATCTGGGAGACACGTAGCATTGTGATAGTTGGTGATTTTGAATACCCTTCAGTAGACTGGGAAAAAAATAGAATGTGGGGCATGGGAGGGGAGAAATTCCTGAAATGTGTACAGGAAATATTTCTGGAAAAGTACATTTCCAGCCCTTCAGGGAGGAGGCTGTATTGAACCTGTTTTAAAGAAATGAGGAAAGCCAGATGGAGAATGTTAGAGTGGGGGAGCATTTGAGGACTAGTGGTCAAAATATAAAATGGTATACAATATTAAGTTGGAAAAGGATAAAAATCAGCCAATGATTTAGATCCTCGACTTGAAAAGTCTAAATGTCTAGATGTCTAACAGTTGAACTGGAGCAGGTTGACTGAAATGCATTTTGGTGAATAAAACAGTGGATGAAAAATGGGAGACTGTCAAAAGAGAGATGAACAGGCTGCAAGCTAGGCACATACCCATAAGAAACAAATATGGGATATCTAATGCTAGAGTACCCTGGCTTACAAAAGATAGTGATGAGAAAATATAGAGGCTTACGATGTATGCCAGAATAATAATAGTAATAGGAAGAGTGTCTCAAAAGCAGGAGAGAGGCTAAGGCTGGAATAAGGAAGGCTATGAGGAAGCATGAGGCACAGATGGCAGGCTGCACTAAAACAAATAGTAAAATGTTCTTCAAACATATTAGCAGTGAAAGATTAATGAGGGATTAAGTAGTGCCAATAAGAAACAAACAGGGTAATCTGCTCACAGAAGCAAAGGAAATGGCAGAAAGTACTAAATGAATGCTTTTGTCTTTAACAAAATAGAAAATGGTGATAATGGCCTAGTTGAAAGTGTGGGTTTTAGCAAATGAGAAATATAGTGATAGATGAAGACGAGGTGCTAAAGAGGCTGGCAGCACTCCAGGTAGGGAAGTCACCTAGGCTTGAATGGGAAGCGCCTAGATTGCTGAGAGAAGGATGCAAATTGCTGAGCCATTGATAGAAATTTTCCAAACCTCTCTGAACAGAGAATTAGCCCTGGGGGACTGGAGGATTGAAATGTGACACCCTTGCTTGAGAAAAGGGCAACTGATATCCGAAGAAACTGCAGACCTGTCAGCTTTATGTCAATAGTGGGCATACTGATAGGGAGACCATATATGAGATAAGGTAAAAATACACTGAGAGGAAAAATAAGTTGATACTAGATATTCAACATAGCTTTGTCAAGGGTAGGTCATGTCTGACACATTTAATTGGGTACTTTAAGGTGACACAGACAGTGGATAAGTGTTGTGCTGTGGATGTTGCATATTTGGACTTTCAGAAAGCATGTGATACGGTGCCACATGGAAGGCTGGTTAGCAAATTAGAAAGGTTCAGGAGTGATGGGTCCTTGGCATCATGGATTAGAAGTTAGCTAGAAGATAGGAAACAGAGTGTACATAGGGATGGACATTTCTCAGATTGCACACGAGTTGAAAGTGGTATTCGTAGGTGTTGACAGCCTTGCTTTTTTTCTGAGGGCAAAATTAATAAATTTGCAGATGATATTAATTGTTGGGAGAAAGTGAATTGTGAAGATGATGCTGGGTGACTTCAGAGAGAGTTGGGCAGACGCCTGGCAGATGAATTTCAATGCAGAGAAGTATGAGGTAATGCATTTTGATAGAAGGAACATGGACAATACAGGCTTAATGGTACAACTTTAAGGGGAGTACAGGATCACAAGAACCTTGAGGTTCCTGTGTATAATTCTCTGAAGCTGGCCAGACAAATTGAAACAGTTGTTAAGAAGGTTATGGAAGATTTACTAGAATGATACCAGGTATGAGGAATTTTAGATACAATGAAAAATTACAGAAATTGGGCTTATTATCCTTGAAGCATAGAAGATTAAGAGGTGACCTGATTGCGGTGTTCAATGTTATGAACAATTTTGACAGGGTAAAGAGTTCTGTTTCCACAGTTGGTATGTCAGTAAGTAGGGATCACATTTCAAGATTGTCAGCGAGAGAGCTAAGAATGAGATGAGGAGAAACTTCTTCACTCAGAGAGTTATTAGGCTTTGGAATGCCTTGCCTGGGAGAGTGGTAGAGGCAGATTCCACATGAGGTTTCAAAAGCAAGTTGGATAAAATTCTTGAAAGAAATGAATTTAGAGGATTATGGAGATAGCGCTGAAGAATGCTCGGAAGCTCTTTCAGGTGCCAATACACCTACAATGGGTCAAATGCCCTCCATCTGTGCTGTAAAATTTGATCCTATAATGCACAAACACTCAGCAAGTCAGGGGGCAACAGTGGGGAGTGAAATAGAGTTCACCTCCTACATCTCAATGACGTTTCTGAAAGCCAAATGGAACCAGGTTCAGTTTTGAAGAATTAAAAGTGTTGGGAAGGGGAAAACTGATCAATAAAATCAGATCACATGGGATTCGGGGGGAGTTTGTCAATTGGATACAAAATTGGCTTGAGGAGACAAAGGGTAGTGGTGAAAGGTTGTTTATCGGACTGGAGGCCTGTGACCAGCGGTGTCCTGCAGGAATCAGTGCTGGATCCACTGTTTTTTGTCATTTATATAAATGACTTGGATGAGAATCTAGGAAGCATGGTTAATAAGTTTGCGGATAACACCAAAATTGAATGTACAGTTGACAGTGAAGGAGGTTATCTAAGATTATAAAGGGATCTTGATCAATTGAGCCAATGGGCTGAGGAGTGGCAGATGGAGTCTAATTTGGATAAATGAGAGGTATTGCAATTTGGTAAAACAAACAATGGCAGGACTTACACAATTAAAAGTAGGTCCCTGGGTAGTGTTGTCAAACAAAGAGACCTAGAGGCGTTAATACATAGTTCTTTGAAAGTTGCATCACAGGTAGGCAGGGTGGCTAAGAAGGCATTTAGAACACTTGCCTTCATTGCTCAGATCATTGAGTATAGGAGTTGGGATGTCTTGTTGAGGATGTACAGGGCATTGGTTAGGCAACTTGTGGTGTACTGTGTACATTTCTGATCATCCTGCTGTAGGAAGGATATTATTAAATTGGACAGGGTTCAGAGATTGACTGGAATGTTTCTGAGGCTGGAGGGTTTGAGTTATAAGGAGAGGCTGGATTGTCTGAGACTTCTTTTATTGTCGTGTAGGAGGTTGTGGGACAACCTTTATAGAGGTTTATAAGATCATGAGGGGCATAGATCATGAGGGGCATGGATAAGGTGGATAACAAAGGTCTTTTCCCTAGAATGGGTGAGTTCAAAACTAGGGGGCATATTTTTAAGATGCAAGGAGAATGATTTAAAAAGGACCTGAGGGGCAAAAGTTTCACACAGAAGGTGGTTCATATGTGGAATGAACTGCCAGGGGAAGTGGTAGATGCAGGTACAGTTCCAACATTTAAAAGACATTTAGACAGGTGCATGAATTGGAAAGGTTGAAGGGGATATGGGTCAAATGCAGCCAAGTGGGACTAGTTTATTTTGAGCAACTTACTCAGCATGGACTGAAGGGTCTGTTTCCATACTATATGACTGTGAGTCCTGATATTATGAAGGCAGGAGAAGTTGAATGACAAAAATCACTGAACTTCATGGCACAGAAGGAGGCCATTCAGCCCATCATGCCTGCACCACTTCTGTAACGTAGTGCCAATCATCTGCCTTTTCCCAAATCCCTACACAACCTTACTGTCTGAATAACCATCTAATGCCCTCTCGAATGCCTCAATTGAACCGGCCTCCACCACATTTCCAGCCAATGTATTCCAGATCCTAACTACTCACTGTGCGAAAAAGTCTTTTTCCGACATCATCCTTGCTTCGTTTGCACATCACAGTAAATCTTGTTTTTGTTCCTTTCACAAGTGGGAACAGCTTCTCTCTATCTGCTCTGTCTATCCTACTCATGATTTTGAAAATCTCAGTCAGATCTCCTCTCAGGCTTCTCTCCAGGGAGAACAGTCATAACTTCTTCAATAAATCCTCAAAGCTGAAATTTTTCATTCCTGGAAGCATTTTGTAAATTGCTTCTGCACTCTCTCCAATGCATCCACATCTCCCTTATAAATTGGACCAACAACTGTACACATCACTCCAGGTGAGGTCTAATATTTTGTACAAGTTCAAATCATCTCCCTATCCTTAAACTTGCTGCCACAACCTGGAACAATTCATCATTATTCCTTGTATCGTGAAAGATCAAAGACAGAAAAGAGGTAACCAGAGGAAGTGTGAATGTCAAACTCCAGAACAACAGCCATCTGAAAAGGAATAAGAGAAAGAGAGAGAGAGACAGAGAGCAAAATAAAAACACAAAATCCCCAAAAAGTAGAGATGGGGCACAAGTTACAGATGTTATATCCTCGATCTAATTGTAGAGTCTGGAAAGTTAAAAAGTACTAAGTTGGGAGATGACCAGCCACT